GAGGGCAGAGGGGACGAGCAAAGGAAACAGAAAGTTCCAGAGAGAGGAGTAGAGATGGGGAGCGAAACACATACCTGACATGAAATAAATCACGCCATACACACTGCCAGGGTCTAATTTACTTTTCCACCTGCTTTTCCTTATGCCATGTGGTTTTTATTAAGATGAAAACAGAAACTTGGCACCAGGGAACAATGAAAAGAGAATTCATCATGACTTTGTCGAACACAATATTGGTGTCCAATGCAGTTTCTACAGATGCTTATTAACATCACAGAGGAAAATAATACATGGTTATTCATAAGTCCCTTCCCTGTTCAAGATAGTAGCCATTACCTGTAATGGCTGTCATTTTTAATTAAAAACAAGTAACATTTGATACTCAGTTCTTCTTTGGAACAAGGTATATTGTTAGTCCTCATGGTCACTGATGGCTTGTGACCACTGACTTGGGCACTGCTGAACAGGACACTGTGTAGGCACAGAAAGCTCAGCAGGACAGCTCTGTGGTGGCCCAGGAAGCCGCCAGCACAGGAGTCTGACGAGCTGGGCCGAGCACATGCAGCTGCGGGGCTCTGCATTAAGGTGCACAATGGCACAGCTTCGTAATGTGGGTCCTGTCGCGACTAGCACGCCAACGGCACAGGTGAGGGCCCTGAGCGGAGTCACACCACTCATGTGATGTCACGTAATGAACCAGAGCGAGCTGCCTGGCAAAGAGGCCAGGGATCCACCGCTAACCTGCTAGCGTGTCTGCTCTGATGTAAGAAGCAAGCAGAAAGAGCGTTCAAGCTCTTTGGGAACAGGGTCAGGGCCACGGTTAGTGAACGCATGCTACTGCACTTGGTGGTTTTGTTTTGCTATTATTTCAATATAGAATACAAACCTTGGGCTGAATCTGGACATGTAATTTTAAAAGTTACATTTTTGAGCTATGTAATCCAGAAGAATGTTTCTTGGATTTTGCTTTACTTTAAAGCTTTTTAAAAATAAGTAATATTAAATTTTAGTCCAACTACTAGAACCAAATGATCAAAGAATTTTTTTTTCAAAATAAAACTGTGTTTTTCTAAATTAGAAGCAAGATTTTTTGAAAGCTATCTTAACATAGTTTGATTATGCTACCAACACATTTTTCTGGCCTTCAGTGAAAAAAAAGTAAGCACTTACTTCATTATACAAATAAAGCTTTAACCAATCAGTCAATTCCTGAAAATTGTATTAAAATGTTACAAATGAAATTATTTTAAAGAGAAGAAAATTGCGTCCAGACCCGTTTGTCGGGATGCTGTTAACACGGTTAATCCAAGAAGCAGTAAGGAAGAGCGTGGCTTGCTGGGTGCAGATGTGAGTGTGCCGGCTTCCTTAGACGCGAGCTGCCTGGGCGCCACCTTGCTGCACGTGACCTTTTTCCGGGGCTCAAAGCCTGCAGCGCCATCACCCTAATGATGTTGCTTTTGTTTTCTGTTTGACTATTCAATAGGCCAGAAGTCAATGTGCGAAAATATTCTGGATGCCTCAAAGATATTGAAATTTCGAGAACGCCGTACAATATCCTCAGCAGCCCTGATTACGTTGGTGTTACCAAAGGTTGTTCGCTGGAGGTTGGTCAACTTCTCTAGATTCCCTGAATAGATTCCTACCATATTTCACTTGCTTAGCTGGAATGCCTTTATGAAGATTGGGCTTTTACTAACATATTGTAGACTTCTACTAGTGGTGGTCTTAGCTATACACAAATGATTAAGCAAGATCAAAGCATTCTATAAATTACAGTTTGCATGAAGAGTCAGAATCCTGCTCCATGTTCCTGAATGCCTAATCCTTCATAACATGCATCTTTAGTTAGTATCTCTTCATGTTCTCTTTTCTAAAACTACTTTTCCTCAATCTCTGCATCAATTTTAAATTGATCTTATTTTTCCTACTATATATAGATATAGTAGCCGCATTATTTTTCTCTAGAATGTATTGAGATGTAAACAAACAGCAAGTAATAATTTATAGCATAAGTACAAGCATATAGCATCTTGCCCACAGTTTCGAAGTCTAATGTCTGGGCTTTGAAATAACACAGATGGGGTCCTGGAGTATCGAGGCCCCCGAAGACTTGCGTGATGTCATTGCAACGTTCCTAATTGACTGATCTTTTAGGGTCCTTCTGTTGTTAAAGTAGTCTAGAGGCGGTCAAGAAAATCCCACTTGAACATTCTGTACTGATACTCTACTGATACTCTAGCGTTGTCTGGAAAAGACCCAGGGCATAGCTTCACTCCATTAAAGTCCCCGTAAGCAGGATCCAGTGGGCAGCAGCAAGCATTCGAAGGAATTTTGTAGGCACTCACTCCACGGTGATAAGTTTTTTGAACGAAGAAAACATTAAGGTTGTCGCACATTTTTAATGGGCCTACTATGGTAAAACTGATCATTTGGGATCCTTTCACCAATGAAAATTATTTTAAAGTACATCGGTGGAGTTCAAGGAAGTGAGGAGAGGACAGGGAAAGGGAGAAAAGCAAGTGTGCTTTTGGATGGTCCAGTTAAGACTGGAACAGAACTTCCAGTGATTTCTTCATTCATAGCTGCAGGGTCCAACTTAGAATTGGCCACAGACACCCACCCTGGGTTCGGGCGTGAGAAGACAGAAAGAATTAAAACTCGAAGGGTCTAGCCAGGCTTCCGAGGGAAATTTTTACTGACAACTCATCTTCGAGCTTGGCTCTCGTCCATGTTCAGAAGACGTGAACATGCAGATGAGAAGTCACCCGGAACGCAAGTGGCCTGTGTGTGGAAGCGATGGCTCGGCGGTGACGCTCCCCTGCGAGCGGGAGCGGGTCACCACCAAAATGTGTTCCAGAAAGGTGACGCGGATAAAGAGTGACAAGTCTGTGCAATGGCTTTATCTGAACTATCGAAGACTCTGTGGTTTGAAAATGGGAACAGGAAGTAAATGATAACATTTCCACCAACTCTCGTGTCATTTAAATAGGCTCGAAATTAGCCCATATGAGGTGATTCCTCGCTTTGGGGTAAAAATCCAGGATTTTCAGGTTGCATATTTTAAGCACTTTGGGGGAGTGTTTAGGCAAATACTAGAACATTTACATTGTGGAAAGAACTCCTGCTATTAATTGCATTGACTGATAGACAGCTATCCAGCATGCGTGTAAATGAAAAAAAAGACGGTACAAAGGAGTATATCTGCCATGATTCCATTTAACAGGCAGAAGAGACTGCAGCCAAGGGTCGAGGCTGGGGAAGCACGATGAATGGATGAGAAGCTTCTAGAACGCCGCCTGTTGTGGCACAGCTTAGGAGGGGAGAGAGCTTCTCCCTTGTGCGCTTTTTTGCTTTCTGAAGCACAACCATGTTAATTTTATTACCAGCAACAATAATATTATTTTCATAGTGAGAAAAGGAAACAGGGCAAGGACTGTTCAGTTTGTTCATTTTTGAGATTTGATTTGTATTAGATATTTTAAAAATTATTCTAGAGATTATTCATTTGATAGTGATAGATATCTTTCTCATCAGCTGGTCATGAAGAGGCAGACAGATATGCGCCAAGGCTGCCCTCATCTTCAAAATACAAGGACTGAACTTGTAGAGTCATTGGAAGGGTGAATTACAGTATTTTCAAGGAGGACAGGAATATAGAATGCTTTAGTAATTATTTTAAACTGAAATAAAGTGTTACCTGTCTGTGATGTTTTCAATATTTTAAATCAAAAGTTCTACACTAAAAGCTAAGACCAGAATTTTATTTTAAACCAATCTACCAGACTATTCAAAGTAATCACTAGAAATAGCATTTCTTAGTTGTCTTTCAGTTTTCCACGTAGCTGTGGGGTTTTCTCAACTGGAACACCTTGGTATATCCCTGAGTGCAGGGGAAGAGAAAGTGAAATGGAGCAAAACTTTATGTTCTCATTTCTAATTGTTTCCTCTCTTCTTTTCCCTATAGAATGTTTACACAGTGAGCTTCCCCACGCCTGGTTTTGTGGAGCTTGCTCCTGTGCCCTTCGATGTAGGAACGGAAATCAATCTCTCCTTCAGCACAGAGAACGAATCGGGGATCATCCTCCTGGGAAGTGGGGGATCCCCAGTACCACCCAGGAGAAAACGAAGGCAGACTGGACAGGTACCCCATCCATTTAAACGTTTTTTATATTTTTAGACTTAAGTCTCTTATCTCCCTTCTTAGCTAACTGAGCCTAACATTCCACTCTCATCCCGGCCTGCTAATTCTCTCCGATGATTTTCTTGGGCTTCTCTAGGTTTCCTGTTATCAGCTCCTGAGTCACACCTGTATTTGCAGTTTCACATAGGTCAACTTATGCATGTATTAAAGACAAAAGCTTGAAATGTACTCAAATTGTGTTATGTTTTCTGACCTCTAAGTCTAACTTTATATCAGATCTGTAGATATTCAGCTAGGATTCCTTACATTTACATTTACATTTACATTTACATTTACATTTACATTTACATTTACATTTACATTTAAAGAACTTCTTCTAGACTCAGTCTCCCAGATGCATGAAGGGAGACAACACAGCCTGGTGGAGCCTGACTGTTCCCCCTCTGCGCACACAGAGAAGGATAAGAAGGGGCTGGGTAAGAGGAGCCTCAGAGCTGACCCAACTTAGACACGGCTTGCTGCCACGCCAGGGTGTTTGGGTAAAATCTGCAGTGCATCCTCCTTGTGAGAATATTGCAGAAGTATTGGTTCTCTTTCTTATGCGGCTGTGGCTTGAACCCAGCCCCTTGCACCGAGCTACACTGCCAGCAGTTGTGTGCTTGAGACGGGCTCTCACAGAGGCTGAGCTGGCATGTGTGGCCCTGCTCTGACCCATTTGCCCAGAGCATTAAGAGTACGGCGTGTGCCGTTGAATGGAGCTAAGCCTAGTGTGTACATCCCAGCCATTTGATTCTGTGAGCAGTGATCCTCAGTTGCCACACTGGGGCATCAAAATACTTTATCCCTTTGGCACTTCCTCAGTCGCTTCAACTGTATTTTTAAATTTAATTTTTTTTCCATTTAATCTACTTTCTATTAGGGAAAGAGCTAGTAGTCCACCATGATTTGGTGCGCTTTACAAATACATCCTTAGACATGCACACACCCTGGAAATCAGGTCATGTGATGTTTTACTTTATGTCTTTTAACTTCATCTTAGTATTTAATAGTTACTGTCAATTATATTCTAAATGATAAAATATTGTTCTTTCTCTAAAAATGATAAGGCCTACACGAATGCATTCACAAACAAAATCAAATCTATACAGCCAGGAATGATGTGGGCTATTGCAGAAGTGAAGGAGTGATTTAATATTAGAAAATCTAAAAGTCATATAATCACCTCAGAATATATGTGGACAATGGACAAAGTATAACAACCATTCATGATTTAGTAAAATAAGAAATAAAAAGAACACGCTTTTAGCTGTCTGTAAAAAGACAAAAACAAGTAGTCTTAATAGAAAGACATTGCAAAATGTGAATAATGGGTGAATTATCTGCATGGATTTTAGCCAATGAAATAAGAAAAGAACAAGTAGATATAGTGCAAGTACAACTGTGTAACTTAATAAAAATAACAAAGTTAACATTGGATTTGTATAGACAAAAATATAACATTTTCCTGAAAGTTATAAAAATAGTCCTCATGAATTGAGCATATTCTGCTGGTAATGAATCTGGGTGTGGTGGCACAGGCCTCTAATCCCAGTGCAGGGGAGGCGGAAAATGGGAGGATCACTATGAATGGGAGCTGAGTTGTGAGACCCTGTACCAAATACATTAGAAAAAAAATTTTAAAAAGAAGCCCGAAGCAACATATTATTTGCAGATAAACATGTGTGAATTTGCACCAATCATTTTTCAGGAGCATGGAAATCATAAAACCCTAATATTAAAAATTCGTCAGTTATCCTTGAAATCACATGTAGATGCAATTTTAAGAAAATACCACTTATCTTTATGCAAATTAAGAAACACTAGTTCTTCAATTTATATCAAAGAAAAAAAAAATCTCCTGAAAGAGAAGAACCAGGTGGTAGGGCTGTCCTACCAAGTATATGTACATTAAAAACTAGAGGGTTTTTTCTTTTGTTTTTCACTTTATTTTTATGTATTTAGTAGAGGGACTTCAAGGTCTCACTATGTAGATCTGACTGATAATGATCCTCCTGTTTTTAGCCTCCCAAGCACTGGGATTACAGGCATACACCACCACGCCCAATCTCAGTCGCCACCTCAGTGTTCCCCAGTGAGGCAGGGCCAGCACGGCACACCAGGCTAGAACTCCAGTCCCTTATGCTTGCCCAAGCAGGCACTTTAGTCTGCTGAGCCCTAAAAACTAGAGTTTTGACTGTAAAATATGATCTTAATTCTTGGAAAATTCTATCCTGGTGACACACGGTAGAGAACCAGCTTAGACAGAAATGATACCCCCTCACAGTGATCGTACGGAATATGGAGAAAACGCGAACTTTTCATAACTCCAGAGCTGTCATTTATCTATATGGAGAAAATTAAACTGAGTTTCTTCTTCATACCAAACCAAAAAGTAAAATAAAATAAAATCCACAGTGAATTCGTCTTAAATTTGGAGGGGAAAAAAAGAGCTTTAAGATTTTTCAAAAGAAAATATTGAAGGATCATTCTTGGTCTTGAGGAAGAAAACAATTTATTGAACAAAAAGGCACTTCGATCAGAACTACACCAATATTGAGAATTATGGCCATCCGAATACACGAAGCACAAGCATGGCTGTATCACCTAAAAACATGACTGACCTCTGTGAGAAAGTAACTTACAAGCGAATAAGTAGAAGGGAGAATTGTAGAGCAATGGACAAAGGTAGGAATGGACAGTTCACAGCCGAGAAAACAGTGGCTCAAAAATGTATTTTTTAATTGTTCAACTCAAAATAATGAGGGAACTCCAACTCCAACCTGCACTAGATGTTGTACCCATCAGAATGACGAAACATTAAGACAGGTGATTGTATCCAGTGTGGGAGACACCTCGGTCCAAGCCATTCCTACTCTCTGCCAATGGAGAAAGTGAATCGCTGCTGTCACCTTGGCAGGTGATTTGACGCTACCTATGAAGATGCACATGTTTAGAGCACACCAGGAATCCTCTCCCAGGCCCAGCCCACTCTCTGTAGGTGCACAGGAGGCCTGGACTAGACTCTTCCTAGAAGCCCTTCTTGGGATGACAGAAAGGCCAGAAACAATGAAATGTTCCCCAGCTGGAGAATAGATAAGCAAACTGCACTTTTGCATAATGGAATATTAAGCAGTTGTGACAAGAGTAAATTGTACAAAGAGTAAACAAGACAACACTGGTGAATAAAAGCTAACTAAAAATGAAAATGCATGATATACTATAAGATACTATTCTTGTAGACTTCTAGTATAAAAAACCTCAGAGCAGGGCTGGTCAGATAGCTCAGCTGACTGCCTGCTTAGGCAAGCACAGGAACAGTGGTTCAATTCCTGGCACCATCGGGGCACACCGTGTGTTGAACCGGCCACAGAGTCCAGGCGTGGTGGTACAGGCCTCTAATCCCAGCACAAGGGAGGCTGAAAATAGGAGGATCACTATGAATTGGAGCTGAGTAGTGACACCCTGTACCAAATACATTAGAAAAAAAAATTTTAAAAAGAAGCCTGAGGCAACATATTATTTGCAGATAAATATGTGTGAATTTGCACAAATCATTTTTCAAGAGCATGGAAATCATAAACATAAAAATCAACATTAATATGTACCTGTGAGATAGGAAACCAGGGCAATGGATCAAGAAGAAATTCCTAGTAGATGAAATCTTACTTTCCTAAATTGAGTACTAGGTTCACAGGCAGATTTCTTACAATGAGAACACAGTTTCATCACTTGCACGTGTGCCAATTACATTGCGAGAAACATAGGAAATAGGCATAATAAAAAATTTCAAAAAGTAAAATAGCTTTATTTTACTTCTTACAGTACATAAGAGTCACTAAATAAATATAAAATATAAAACCTCTCTTGGATTCTTTCTCCTTTCATCTTGAATATTAAAAGTATTTTCTCACTATTGCAAATGATACTACACATAAAAAAGATCAGACCAAACATTCTGAAATAGATTTAGATGAAAGAATAAGTGTTTTGTTGGTCATTGTCAAATAATTAAGAACTACCTACTGGCTTTAAATTTAGTCCTCAACACTAAATCAATAGAACAGAATCACCATTTTCCAGGATAATTCTTACAACAGAACATATTCTTATTCAAACTATTAAATTCAGGGTGTATTAGTCACTGTTGCACAAAGTAAATCAGAAATTAAATTTTAATGATAATAACTATCTAGGTTTTAAAATCAAACAGTAATTACTTCCTAAAAGAGGCAACATTGAGTGCTTCAAGTCTGTTGGAGAACTGGTGCTGACTACATCTGACATAGTTTAAGAGTCAAAGCTAACGGTTTTGACATTCACGGAGTTATTTGTGCTTATGATCTGCTAAATGGGTTTGACGTATCAAAATTCCCATCAGCTAGGAAATTCATCAGTAAATAGTTTGCAGTTGCCCTTTGGAGGTACAGCACATGCTAATCAATGCAGATGCTTAGAACATTTTGTGCCAGACACTGCCTGCATATAGGGTTTTGTACGTTATTGAAGCATCACTGTGTTAATCAAAACCACCTCTGCTGCCATTGATTACTCATGGAGGACTGAGTTATCCTTGCGCAGCAGGTGCTGCAGTGGTCCACAAGAGAGGGAGTGTGTGTGGCACCAGCTTTGGTGATGAAGACTGTATTCAAGCTCCCTGGAGTTCATAATCGGCTATCAAAACCATACTGGTTGCTATGGCAACAACAGCAAGGAGAAAGCAGGCATATTTGTGGATGAAAAATTGTCTCCCTTCTTTCTAAATGTGGAAGACAAGTTACATGTTTGTGATAGCAATCTCTTCCACCAGATCGGAGAACAAATTGGACACTCAAAATGTCATGAGGTGGCAAGTCAGATCTGATGGTCAGAAGCAAGCTATCTATTTGTGAATAGAAGGGGGAGGGCTCTGTGGAGACCCTTTGTTTTCTGATGGGTTGTATGAGTTAGAGCACCAATACAAGCACAGCTGTTATGTTCAGCATCGCCAGCCTGCTTGGCAGAGGACAGCTATGTTACGATCTCCACTTTCCACATCATCTAACAGAAAAACCCATAGTAGATGATTAAAAAGATATTTCCAGCTACTTTAACAACTCTGCCTCTGAAAAGATTGAGCCATAATTGCTTAGGTAAGATCTCATGGCAGATGATTCTCTAGAACCACATCATAGATGAGACCCCCATTTAGTCTCCAATGCCCATCTGTTGTTTCAGGCGTACTATGCCATCCTCCTCAACAAAGGCCGGCTGGAAGTGCATCTCTCCACTGGGACCCGGACAATGAGGAAAATTGTCATCAAACCAGAGCCAAGTCTGTTTCATGATGGGAGAGAACATTCCGTTCATGTGGAGAGAACACGGGGGTATCTACACACTTGAATATTTACTATTGTAACTAACACAAATGCATTTGCTTCTCTCTCTCTCTCT